TCGTAAGGGGTGCAAAGGAGCGATTATCATCTCGTGAAAAAGTCGAGTTAGTGAGAGACTTAAATTATTAATAAATAGTCCGTATAGGTAAAACCCACGATATCCAACAACTGCTAGCAGGTTCTTCCAACACTGAAGCAAAGCGAGATAATAATGTAAGGCCAGCATCCAGATTCTGTTGCCAATGTCAAAATGAGGGCTAGCTTCTAAAGTTGTACTTCTTCCTTGCCTGCCCCTCAATTATCGCCGGCCAGATGTAGTAGAGGTGATGCGCAAGAGCGTAAGGAAACCAGGGAATCACCACACTGCCTCGCACCCGACGATCCATCGCGTCGACACACCTCGCCGATACGTAGTCCAGCTTCAGGCCCTGGTTGTTGGGAACTACCTCCTGACTTGGGCCGGCGTCAACAGCCGAAGCACGGAAGTTGCCCTCAATGGTAGCAGGGAGAACAAACGTGAAGGCAATCTTCGGATGCTCGATAGCGAGCGACTGAAATAACAGCAGCGAGGAGCCTTTAGTGGCAGCATAGAGCGCGCGCGTCGGTGCCGGAACCACCGCGGCGACAGATGAAACCAGGAGGATAGAAGGCGAGGCTGAGGTGTGCGTTAACATGGGGATAAACGTCACAGCCGCGATAAAGGGGCCATAGACGTTGCCTTCGGTCGTGCGAATAGCAATGTCGACGGCCCTCTGAATGCCGGGACCGTCTGCGTCCTCTTCTCCAGACGTAATTCCGGTCAACGACATGACAGGCTGCACTGCCGAGACGCCAGCACACACATGGATAGAATCCAAGCCACCCCATTCGGCGAGTAGTCTCTCCCTGACTCGTACCATATCTTCAACACTGGTGAAGTCGGCCACCACCCAAATGCAACGGTCGCCTAGTTCCCCGGCCAGTGCAGATAGCTGTTCCGCACGCCGCGCGACAATGCATATCCGAGCATTACGAGCGGCATACCTCTTGGCAACCGCGCGACCAAGCCCGCTTGAGGCTCCCAGAATCAGAACACGTTCCTCGTTAACGTTGATGGCCCTCGTCCTGCTCTTAGCACTCGTCCTAAAGGTCCGTTGAACCAAGTAATAAATAGCAGTCGCTGCGACAATCGTGCCTGTCAGGCTCGCGGAGTTGAACGCCGGTGCCATGTTCAGCATCGCAGGTACACATACCAGCTACTTAGTAGATGACTAGGAGTTGCTCCAAGCCCACCCTCTTCGAACCCGATGGGGGACCGGTGAGGGACCGGTGAATCCAGCAACGATACCCTGCCAGGTTAGGTCTCTCTGGGCATTAAGCTAACTGCCTAAGCTCTTTTCCAAGCGGTGCCATGTAACTAGTCCAACAAATGAGGTTGGGTTCCTTTCCGAGATTTTGGTTTTGTTTTTGTTCGGACTGCGGGGGGGAGAGGGGGGGTACGGGCGCCATTTACAACGATGGCCTTATACGGTATAATGCATAGCTCGTACCCCAGAGCGAGTAATATTGCATACATGTAATTTATTACGAAATGGGTATCATATATGGCAACGATCTAGAATACGAAGATGGGCGCAGCATAAAGGTCCAGCTCATGCAGAGATGCACATACGAGTCTAGCGGGGAAGTCATTCTCAGCGACAGCGTTGTTCTTCCACTGAGCTTCACACGTTAACTTCGAGTAGGTATATTTCCAAGAGATCGTGCGGTCATCGTGACTGCGATTATGAAATCAGGAAGCTCTCAATTTTAACCTCATAGAAAGACTCACGCCCATGTTGACTAGCTTGATGCCTGCGAGCACTGTCACGCGCCGTGTTTGGAGAAGTTTATATTAGTGCGTGTCGGTATTCTTTCTTACATTTTAGAGTTATTAGTCTGGATAGGCCTTGATCTACCGATAAGCCTTCGAGTGTTATATATACATATAGTACTAGTTGAGCGCTGAATCGAGGCAAGTCGTCTACTGTAAAATAATAATCAAATCTTATCAAACATGTCGTGGCGAACTACGTAGCGACCGACCGACGGATCACTAGCAATATCTAAGGCTTGTAATTGCTATTATCCTTATCATGGTTTTGGTTTTTATCATTATCCACCGTGTAAGCCGTCGCAATTTGATACATATGTAAATGCTGATGCAGATATGGGAAAGCCTTGAAACAAGGTGCCCCAGTGGATATCAACCAAGCAGCCCAAGCCGCGGCAATGATAACCGGCGATTACGTCTAAGAAAGTGGTACTGTAACCTAGATATGTAGATCTAGAGTCGAAAGTTTCACGGGGAAAAGGGCCAACGGTAGGCCAATTACTTAAGTGAAAAACGTGGACTAGGAAGCTTCACGTTACATTTGGCAATTCCATCCGAGCAAATGGCCGTTATCGTCGGCACTACCATCTTAGTCGGCTGGGCAGATATCCCCCTATCGCCCGCCAAGCACTGATAGACATCAACCCCGGCTGGAGATAGGTGTAATGGGGTAAGGCGAGCGCAAGTCGACCCCTGTCGCTAACTTCTATTTACTAACTTATCTTTGGAGATGACATGAAAGTAGTTCGTCATGTTACGCTTCGACCCCGGCAGGTCAGGACCTGAACCCTTGGAGATAAATACCTACCTGGCCCCCGATGAACTCGGCCCGGTCAGTAGGTAGGCGCTTCAGCTTTCACCGCAGGGGAGACAAGCCTCTTCAGCGTACAGTAATTTTGGTACCAAAAAAAGCCGTATCAACCAGCCAGTCAGTCAGTGATGGACACCAAGAAGGATTCTGGCGACTTCGGCGTTAGTCCTACGCGGATAATTAGCCATAGGCAGGCGGGTGTCATCCTTTCGACGTCCGAGCACCCGCTGAATGAGACGAAACGTGGTCTCAGTCCTCGCCATGTGCAGCTCATGGCCATCGGAGGGTCCATCGGTACGGGTCTTTGGGTGAGTGCAATTTTCCTTTCTGATTGACGTTGATATATCAACGTGTCGAGCTGACCGGGTCATCAAGGTCGGCATCGGCAGCGTGTTGAGTACCGCCGGACCGCTCTCCCTGATCCTTGGGTATGCGTTCTGGGGCCTGCTGTACATCTGGCCCCTGAACTTGGGTGTTGCCGAGATGTGTGCTTATCTGCCCATCCGCGGCACGATCTTTGAGCTGGCCTCACGCTTCGTCGATCCGGCTCTGGGATTCGCCATGGGCTGGACGTATTTCTTCGCCGGGACCATGCTCGTCTGCGTCGAGTGGTCGGCCGTGGCCACTGTCATGCAGTACTGGGTGCCCGACATCAACCCGGCGGCGTGGATCGCAATGGCTTTGGGCATGTGTTATCTCCTGAACATCGTCGCCGTCAAATGGTACGGAGAGTCGGAATTCATCATGGCCTCCACCAAGGTGCTGCTCCTCTTCGGACTTTGTCTGCTGACGTTGATCACCATGAGCGGCGGCAATCCCCAACATGACGCTTACGGCTTCCGCAACTGGGGGAACGGCGAAGCGATGCACGCGTACTACACTGACGGGGCCACGGGGCGATTCTTAGGCTGGTGGAAAGTTGTCATCTACGCCGGTTTTACCATCGCCGGGCCCGACATGATCGCACTCGCTGCTGGCGAGATACAGAACCCGCGCAGGACGATCCCTCGCGTCGCTAAGCTTATCTTCTACCGCCTTGTCGGCTTCTATGTTGTTGGTGTCTTGTGCGTCGGCATCCTCTGCTCGTCGCGTGACCCGAGGCTGTTGGGTGCGATTGAGAACAGCGAGCCGGGCGCTGCGGCATCCCCATGGGTGATTGGCATTACAAACCTGGGTATCAAGTTCCTGCCCGATCTCATCAACGCATTGATACTGCTCTCCGGTTGGTCTTGCGGAAATGCCTACCTATATTCGGCATCGAGAACCTTGTATGGTCTTGCAAGAGGTATGCTCTGCTCTCTCATTCTCACACCACGATCAAAAAGGAGGAAATGCTAACATGTGTGCTCACAGACGGTCAAGCGCCCAAGTTCTTCGCGAAGTGCACTAAAGACGGCGTTCCAGTCTTCGCCGTGTCTGCCGTCGCCGCAATCTCATGCATCACCTTCCTCGTCTCATCCAACAACGCGGCACAAGTCTTTTTCTGGTTCGTCGATCTGACCACCACCGCCCTAATCATGGCGTACACCATGATGATAGTCGCCTTCGTGGGATTCTGGCGTGCTCGCACCTCGCAGGGCATGGACCCGGCCACGCTGCCGTATAGAGCGATGTGGGCTCCCTGCAGCACATCCCTCGCACTGCTGCTCGGCGTCTTGGCACTACTCTTCGTCGGGTTCGACACCTTCGTGCCCTTTGATACCCGCGGATTTATAACAAATTACTTCGCTCTCGCTTTTGGCATCTTCATGTATTTAGTGTGGAAGGTGGCGCGACGCACCAGCTATGTGAGCCCGAGAGATGCCGACCTCATCTCGGGCAAGAGGGAAATCGACGAGGAGTGCAAGCATTGGGAAGAAGGCGGTATTGAGGTGGTCGAGAAGGAGAGACTGGCCCACATGAACTTTGTGAGAAGGTTCTGGGAACTGCTATGGTAGTTTTGTTTTGGTGGCTTCTAAGATTATCCTAACTAAGGACTTCAAGGAGCGACGCCTTAGACACGAAAACCTCACGGCCCCAATAAACATTCCGATCCAAACCACGTTCACAAAATTAAATGTGTATTTTTTTAGATACAACTTACAAGAAAGTGCCGTAGAGCTCTACATCTTCTTGTGAAACAGGCGAAGTCCCAAGACGAATAGGGTGACTGTTGATTTGGGTTGTCTATCTACCTATCTCCCCTTTAACTGTCGTGCAATGGACATATGTGCACATATAATCGACTGAAAAGCGCGGCAATGAAAAGGAAAGGATTAATTAGCATCCACACACAAGAACGAACAAACAGCTTCATTTCAAAATGCATGACAGCAAATAACTAGCATTTATTAGGACTGATGAATAAATGAAACTTCGAATCGAAATATAAGGGATGATGAAACGAAAAATTAAACGACGCAGGCCTGATTCGAACAGACGCTCCCGAAGGAACAAGATATTCTAGAGTGATTCTAGTCTTGCGCATTAGACCACTCTGCCACTGCGCCTCTTGTCGTAGCCCAATTGAGCTAGTCCAATAAATGACAAATTGAATTGGGGCAATAAATATACAGAGTCGGGTTTAGTTACCGACAGGAGCCAGCGCCAACCACTGATACTTGGAAAGTGAGGATTCAGGTTTCGTATCCATTCTTCCCTGATTTCATATCATGGAAAACTTTGTTGTTTGACTATGACGCTGCGGCCCTGAACTTGGGAGGCAGTTTACATGACTGAGCAGCCATTGCTACCACTGTTTCCATTCGCGTGGAGGCCATCGTCGGTGTCGCTGAAGTCGAACAAACCCTTGTTGGGCCGTTGAGGCTTCTTCATGGTAGACTTAGGGATCGCCATAATGATAGTGAATGTTGATAAATTTGCAGAGGGATTGTGAGATCGTGATTTTTTATGTCTCGGATTTGTGTTGAGCTTTGTTTTGTTACTGTGCGTTGGTGAGTGAGAAATCGTCTGTTGAAGAGACCAGCCGGGTGGTTATATATTCGAGCGAGACGCCAGGGCGTTTGAGGATGTCTTAGTTCTAAACAGATCACGAGAAACCCAGGTTCTCTTTGAGCTCCGCGGAGAACCAGTCGGTTAACTCGGATCCTTTATGACTTCCTTGTCAGTTACAACAAAGGCATTGCCACTGGGTATTAGCTAATGACTGTGAAATCTAAGCCTAGGAAAAGGCGTTCTTGTTCATATGTAGATTTCTGAAGAGGCAGAGGATACTGTAATCAAAGACTGGCCCTTCTTTGACATAAACCGAAGAACATTAATCACAAAGATATGTAACTCTACTAGTTCGTGGCTAACTGAAGAGCCGGTACCTATAACATGTATGAAGATTACATGTATGAATAGCATTCTATTTTAAATTGTACTTTTTATTGTGTTTCCTTTATATCCAACAAACAGCTTGTGGAACAACACACGGAAACTCCCCGTGGGCACACAATCTCCTGCTAGACTAACTATATTTTCCTTAGATAGAAGCACATGTAAATACAATTTCAGTTTCTCTGTGGTTGATACAATTTATTAAACATGACGGAACACTCAGAATGGGCTCATCAACCACAGCTAGGTATGCAACGCAAGATCATTGGACGTATAAACAGTGCCAATCCCTCACGATATCAACACAGTGGTTTCTCCTATCAGCTCCATAGCAGGAACTACTTTATCCTTTACTCCCTCTCAGGAAACAGAAGCACAATGTATTAAGGTCGTAGCGAAAACGAGGAGACTAGTTGTTTAACTTTACCCTCGTCCTAACCACACGCATAACTATTCATTAGACGGCCGTTTTCTAAGGCCGTGTAGGAAATAATTTGACGGTCAGTGGGTTACCGGGGTTACCTAGCACCAATGGCGCCGCGAGTAATCGAACCTATCTTGTCTTTCATGACCGCTGATACACTGAGAAGGATATGCGCATTCCGCTTAGGGCAAGTTCGATTCTCAGTAGTTGAGACTATATTAGGAGCACAGGGATTGGGGATTGTATCTTCTGCCATCCTATGGCTAATATTGAAGGATAATCGACTGTTATTTTGTTGATTAATAGGCACTAAGTTTAGATAATAGATGGTATATGAGTAATACTCGAGTACTATATCTTCAAGCTTCGCGAGAAAGAATATATAAAACAATACCTACAGTTACTACGTAATTGCTTTGAGCGTAGTCGTAATGTTGGGTTTACTTCTTCTAGTACCCAAGCAAGGTCAATCAACAGCATACCTATGAGCACTCCATACCGGGCTATTTCCGCTATTCATTGTTACTTCTTATTATGTAAACGACGGACATTATATTTGACCCAAACAACCGTTAGCGCGGAGAGCGGCTATGACCGGTCAGTGATTTGTACGTAGTATGGATATGTAATGGAATCTCCAGCATTGGGTAAGGTTGACATGGATGGGTAGCGCCACAAGGATGCAGAATCTAGATCCAGCAGACCAATCCAGTTCAGTTTTAGCGGCTTGGACCGACGCCCCAAACCCTTCTAAGACCGTATAAGGTAGGTAGGTAGTGAGTGAATGAGTGAATGGATGTATGTATTGAATGCACTTCTCAGCAGACTTAAGATTAATACTAGATATACATACAAACCATTTTTTTTTTTTTTTTTTTTGCTTTCCCTCCGAGCTTGAGCTTGAGCTTACCTATTATATACTTCGTCTATTCATCCCGCTGGCTTGCTCTTCCGCAGGAACACACCAAGCATACGAGTTACCTGGCATACGTACGTAGGTAACGGATCTAAAGCAAGCAAGCAAGCAAGTATCAAGAAAGCAGCAAGAAGGTAAAGGTAGCAAGGATGTCGCTCGCTGCCGAACCGTCCATGGACCTCCCGATAATCGATCTAGACGTGTTCCTCGCGGGGCCCGCGTCGTCGGCAGCCGTGCAAGCCGAGTGCGCTAAGGCGGCATCGGCGCTGATAACCTACGGGGCGCTGATCCTGCACGACAGCCGGGTGTCGCCGAGGGACAATGAGGCCTTCCTGGACCTGCTGGAGGACTACTTCGCGCAGCCGGAGGCGGCCCTGGGCGCCGACGAGCGCCCCGACCTCGGCTACCAGGTCGGCGTCACGCTCGAGAACACCGAGCGACCCAAGTGCGCTGTCCACGCCCCCTGTCTGCGCGTCATCAAGCGCCTCGACCCCGCCGAGCGGCCCCTCGACATTGCCGGCCACCAGCCCGACCCCAAGTGCCGCTTCTTCTGGCGCATGGGCGACCAGCCCCCTTACCCGACGAGTTTCCCCGCCCTGAACGCCCCCAACGTCGTTCCCGCCGCCGACGGCATCCGGGAGCGCTGGACGCCGGTCATGGAGACGTGGGGGAAGAGCATGAAGAGCGCGTAAGTATTCTTCGTATTATGGGAAATCCGTCTTGATGCATAACAGTCTGGGCCGCTTGTCTGGCTTTGACTTGAAATGAAGTGAGGTGAAATGAGATATGGTTGTGAGAGTGAGAGAGAGTGTATGAATGAAGCAATGACGGAAGCTAACAACCTGTCTCCGAAATAGCGTCTCGGACCTAGCCGAGATGGCAGCCATCGGCATGGGCCTACCGGCCTCAACATTCAGCAATGCCGGGCGCTACGGGTAAGCCACACCTCCCCCCTCTTTTTTTTTCTCCTACGTCTCCCCATCGACACCATCACCACTTCTAACACACACACACACCCGCATAGCCCGCACCTCCTGGCGCCCACGGCCTCGGACCTAGAAAAACACAGCGCGCCCTCGACGATCCTAGCGGGCTTCCACACGGACCTGAACTTCCTGACGATCCACGGGCGGTCGCGGTACCCGGGCCTGCACATCTGGGCGCGCAACGGCGGGCGGCGCCTGGCCGTGTCGATCCCGGCCGGGCCCTACCTGCTGGTGCAGGCGGGGCGGCAGCTCGAGCACCTGACCGGCGGGCTCGTCAAGGCCGGCTACCACGAGGTGGCGGTGACCGAGGCGACGGTGCGCGCCGTGGCGCGCCGCCGCGCCGAGCACCCCGGCCGCCCCCTCGTCCGCGTCAGCAGTACCTTCTTCTGGCACCTCGCCAGCGATTACGACCTGGTGCCCCTGCCGGCGCTGGCGGAGCGGGCCCGCGAGGTCCGCGCCCGCGCCCGTGCGATGGGCCGCGATGAGGGCGACGAGGAGGTCTATGTCGGTATGAAGGTCGGGGAGCAGGTGCAGAAGTAAGTCGAGTCCTTCTTTCTCTCCTCCTCGTTCTAATGGTCGTGTCCTTGACTCCTGATCCTGGACTTTTATTTTTCCGTATTGTCGTTGCTGTTGCTGTTTTTTGCTGACAACGGTCTAGTGAACTGAAGCATATCGCGCTGATGGCGTAAGATCTAACCTCCCTACCTACCCGATGTAAATGATGATATATCTATGACACATATATACATACCGGCTATATTTCAGCTTGGATAAGCGAGTCTGGGCGTTGCATTTTCCCTAGGTATACATAGAGCTGAAGTACCCACCCATCGGTAACCACTAGGTCTATTTATACAACGTTAGATATCTCTGAGAGTAGATCGTGAGTTCGTTTGTTGTTCTCTCGAGGCAACATATGTTGAAGATACGCGAAACAGAATCGCTGCTGGGTTTCAAGTACGAGGTGTTGTCGAGGCTTAGTTGTCATCTGTAGCACAGAACTCAGCCGCGTGCTACGTTTCCTTGCTTGCACATGCAGCCTCCCGAAGAAATCTATCATCTAAAGTATCACAAGATGTCAACCTGCCGTCAAATATGCCACAGCTAAGACGCAGAACGGGTGAAGTGTGTAGCGAAACAAGGAGCCAGCCTATGTATGTATTTTAGCTAGGTAGGTTCACTTTTGAAGGCCTTGCTTTGCCCAGCTCTCTAATTCTATTACAATAAAAATGCGCCTAAAACACCATACGGTTAAACCCCAATCACCCTGGTCAGAACTTTTGTTGCCTGCGCAAAGAATACACTTAGAATTTCACGTCTTACGCTGACTTGCAAATAAATTACTTCTCCAGCCCACATTACTTTCGAAAGCCATCTTGTAAGACGAGTGAACCCAGTTTTCTAAAAGCTGAAGCTGAAGCTCTAGCCGGAGCCGGAGCCAGATGCGAGGCGATATATCGGCCCAATAGGGTCCTTAATAATCCCGCTTGGCGGGAATGGGCGGCGCCGGCTTCTTCGCTCTGCTAGGCGGAGGTGGTGGAGGGGCTTTCTTCACGGCTCCCGTCGTACGCAGACCAGTGTTACTCGTGCTTCGACTGAGACTTCCGTAGCTTGTTGCCGGGCTCTCGCTGCGGTCATACTCCGGACTCCCGCTGCTAGTGGTAGTGTCACAGTCATCATTGTAGATATCAGGGCTCAGATTTTGGTTGGTTTGTATCCTGCTCACTGGGCGTAGATTGTTCCGGAGAGCACTGACGTTGGGTGATGGCACTGTGTTAGTCTTACGCAGCGAATTGTTCTCTGGCAAGGGCGGCGGCGGAGGTTCACGGTATGCGGATTGTC